ATAAAAACTTCAAAAATTAAAATCCTTCGAGATGTACTTATGTTACTACATCTACTAGTTAGGAAAATTTAAAAACTTAAATTTGGACATGTTTTGCAAAAAGTGTAGGGAAAATATAAAACTACTTATTCAAGAAGTATTAGTGTCACTAAATAAGTATTCAAGAATATTAGTGTTAATAAATAATTATTTCAGTTTTTTTGAATTTTGGTCAAATCTGTTCAAACTGTGGACAAACTGTGGTCAAACAATGGTCAAACTACTTATTCAATAAATATTAGTGTTACTAAATAATTATTTCAGTTTTTTTGAATTTTGGTCAAATCTGGTCAAACTATGATCAAATTATGGTCAAACTATGGTCAAACTACTTATTCAAGAAATATTAGTGTTACTAAATAATTATTGTTTTTTAGAACAATAGTTTCAAACTCAAACAGTGAAATGTGTGATTTCATGCTCAAGCAAAATTCCTGAGGGTTAATAGGATTGACATCTTACTATTGTGAGGAAAACAACAAGTGCAGACTTGGAAAAGGGGGAGAATAGAACCCGGAGGTTAAGCGTGCTCGGGCTGGAGTAGTGAGATGATGGGTGACCGTCCGGGAAGTTAGATGATTTGGAATGATGAGGGGTGATTAGAGATTAAAGGTTAAATTAAGCAGCGATGAGGGAGGGGTGATTAGAGATTAGAGGTTAAAATAATTCAGAAATTTGAAAATCAAAAAAAAAATTCAAAAAAAATCATAAAATTTCCTTTAGTATCAGTTGGTGTTACCAACCGGGACTAAAGGTGGACCTCCAGGCAGCGGCCACGTGGACGGTCTTTAGTCCCGGTTCATGTAAGAACCGGGACTAAAGGGGGAGGCTTTAGTAAAGACCCTTTAGTCCCGGTTCTTACCCTTTTTCCACTAGTGTTGCCATAGAAATGCGCGAGAGAGCTATTTCTCGCCTTAAGCGAGCCAAAAGAGGATCACTCGTTGAAGGCTCGACACTAATGGGGCCGGCCAGACCCAACTTTCACGAACAACCTTTTTACAACTTTTAACCATCGCATACGCGGCGCGGCACAATGGGCCAGCCCAGTCGGGCGTACCCTGGGCGATGGGGCATGTATTTGCCGTAGAAAGCATGCAAGAGCTATTTCTCGCCTTAAGTGAGCCGAAAGAGGATCACTCGCTGAAGGCTCGACACTAATTGGGCCGGCTGTTCACACACATGTATAGTAAAAGAAAAAGAAATGCAAAGCGAAAATAGAGCGCATCAGGGAATCCAAGCCTGGCTTTGGAGCAAAGGCATTTGACGCCTAGACCATCCTTTGATTCATTATGAGTCGTGGTTTTCACTGTTTGTTCTCTTTTTTTTTTGTTGGTTTCTTTTTTCTTCTCCATTTTTCTTTTTATTTTTTTTATGTTTGTTTTCGTTTTCACTCTACATTTCATATATGTCAAAAAATAATAATAAGTGATAAACATTTTTGGCATACGCGTTCAACATTGTCCGAACGCTTATTCAACATTTGCAAAATACTTGTTCAACATTTTAATAATTATTCAACATTTTTCAAATACCCGTTCAACATTTTTTAATGCTTAATTCAACATTTTGAAATACTTGTTCAACATTTTTAATACTTATTCAATATTTTAAAATAGTTGTTCAACATGTTTTAAATACTCGTTCGATAATTTTTAATACTTATTCAACATTTTTCATATACTTATTCAACATTTTTAATACTTGTTCAACATTTTCAAATACTTTTTCAACATTTTGTAAATTCTTGTTCAACAGTTTTTAATACTTATTCAACATTTTTCAAATACTCGTTCACGTGTTTCGAATGTGTTTTTGAAGAGTGTTATATATAAATGAAGACAAAAATACTAACTGAATTGGAAATGGTTTGTGTTTCAAAGTTTAGTTCCATGGCACTTATTTGCATGGCTTAAAGTAAGAAGTCAGGTCATCTCGAATGTGTCTTGCACTTGCATATTGTTTGGAAGACTACGGCTGTAAGAAGCAAGCTAATGCCGCTCAGGGTGCAGGTTCGTAAACAACAACTAATAGGGCTCCTTTGATTTGAAGAAATTCTATAATAAAATTGGAGGAATAAAATTATTATGAATTTTTTCTACAATTGGCCCCTTAATCTATAGGATTGATTCCGTAGAAATCTTTCCTATGAAATCTTTTGTACTACATTTCAAAGGAAATCTAACATCCGCTCCAACTTCTTTTTACAGTATCTTTATTTTTTCCGTGGCATCAAACACTATTGGATTTAAGTGGATGTGCCACTTCAATCATATACTTTTTCCATTGCTGTATTTTCAGAATCCTGCAAATCAAAGAGGCGGCCCTAAGTTAGCGGATTCTCACTGGAATGCATCAGCCTTATGTAGAGGGCAAATAGAAGAAAAAATAATACGTTATGCAATAGCAGCGCAGCACATGAGATTGGAAAATAGCTCATGAGAAACACAAATACAGATTACATGGTACGTTATGCAGTAGACGAGCAGCAGACAAACACAAATAGCTCATGAGAATGTACTGCCTTGGCAAACTTGAACCTTAGCAAACCATTCGAAAGAATCATCTCCAATCACCACAATGGCATTCAAATGCGACTCGCAGAAACTCATCACACCTATTTCCCATTACAGAAGCTCCAGTAATAATTGGCATCAACACACGAACCGAAAAACCGAGAAAATGTACAGTTTCTTCTACTATGGACTACAAATGTACATGAGTAACAGGACTGCAAGCTAGTTTTGGCAGTAACACCGGGTGGACACAACCTTCTGTTCTTTTGTACTCCCTTCTGTTGTCCTTGATGAAACAAATGGAAGTAACTACTAATGGCTACAAAATTCATATGTAGTGATCAAACCTTGAGGCCTATGTGGCGCAAGGACAGAGTGGTGGTCGGCCTGGCTTACCTCGGAGCAGCCAGACGTCTTCTGCAGATCCACAAACAATCAGATGAAATATCCAAACAATATTAAAAGAACACCAATGCCTCCTCCAGAAACTGAGAGCTACAGCTAACTAGGATTTTCAGAAGTAGTCATTTGCCAAACCCAATCATACACAGGCGCACCACCACATGCACAAGGGGCCTATTGTGGTGTCACGGTCACCCCCACCATGGCTGTGGTGCTTGCACCGGTGCCCCGAAGCAACATCTTCGGCACAAGGAACGGGAAGCAATCTTTGGGAAACCCATCATACAGATTAGTGCTCCTCGTTAAGAATTCCATAGCCTGACAGTAGCTTGGTTCAGTGCACGACAATGCCAGCCTGCACTTGAATTTGGATCCAGTAAAGTGAGGCTGGACGCAGCAAACTGAGATGACACCACCGAGAGGCTCCAGTGTCATGTTGACCAGGAAGAGGTGGCCATCCTCGCCCACCAGAACGGTTGATCCCAGATGGACGCGGATCTGGAACGCCTTGTTGTATGTAACTTTTGGTGAGTGCCACTTGTGCTTGCCTAAAAAATGCTCCAGGAGCCTCGCGGTTGATCCGCTGAAGCCGCAGCCAGTTTCAGGGCAGAAACATGGTGCATGTGGGCAACCTTTCTCGTGTTCTTCTTTCAGGTAGTAGGTCATCCTTGCGGTGCATCCATGATTGACATTGGAGCAAGCAACTTTGATGGATTCAACTACATTTTCTACCATGTGGCAGCGACTGTAGACTGTGGGAAGGGAGCAGAAGTGGCACTTCTCGGGAAGCTTGTCATGGCAAGATGAACATATGGTATGCCCCACAGTGCACTGAGGAACAGAGAGAACAAATCAGTACATATGCTAATGATTTAGCTGAACTACAACCATAATGATGAACAACATAGGAATTGCAAAGTATGTATACTGTGTCGACCCATGACATACTAGAATAACCAGGATATAGTTTAAGTTAACAATACCCAAAAAAGCTGAAAAAATTGGGAGGATATAAACATTTCCTGCATGGAATTAAGCTCAGCTATCATTCCCATCTGAATGCCTTAAAATTCACCACATGCAACTGTTACCTAAGAGTTTTCTTTTTCTACCTGCAACAGTGGGGGAGGCCCCCACAATATATTTTCTATTTATAAGGTGGAGATAATTACATGAAAGTGTACAAATGGAGTAGGGCCCTAGGGTCCTAAAGGGGCATTACAAAGTATTGTAACCAGTCAAGGAAACTTAGTCTGTGGGTGTCCTTAACCCTATGCAAAACAAGGACTAGGTCTGACTTAAGAAGCACTTTCCAGGTTTCCTGGCGCTCAACAAAATAATATTATCCCAAAGAACAGGTATAGTGATAAATACATTTCCCAGAAGCATGGCCCAGCAAATGATCCCTTAGCAGCACTTACCTAAAAGTTACGACTACATTGACACACAGATGTAATTTGCGGCTCTTTCAATCATACATGATGGACTGTACATTTCATCAACATGGCTTGGGACATCCTTTATACTTTAGAGCTTAGTATACAGCCGTTCTACTTTTGCTTTAGAAACTTCAAAATAATTCATACGAGTTGGGCGGATCTAAAGTTTTACCAATTGTGCCGCATAAACAGGTTTACAATCATCACTTTATAATAGCACAATAGCATTCACACTATAAAAGAATGCACATGAATCACCCTTTCACATGAATTTGTTGCATAAGGTAACAAATAAATAGTAGCAAAATAAGTTTCACTGATTTAGTACAACTTTGTACTAAAGCTGTACTAAATCAGCGGCACTTATTTTGGGACAGAGGGAGCAGTTTCGTATGTGATGCTCTATTTTCGCGCACTAAGTTCACTCCTAGCAGTATGAAAAAAAATCCCTACTGCAAGTTGATAATACGTCAATAATTCATTGAATATATTAAACTTTCAGTAGTTTGTGGTTTCCCCATAATGATGATACATTGACTTTATGACTTCCTAGTTTGCATAAGCTACTGCTTAGTTTCCCCAATATAGTATAATTTTTCCAGAATTATAATACAGAGCAGTGAGAATTGCAGAGAACACGTCAAACTTATTTTAGACGGTACAGTCTTCAACCGTAATTCCCATCTGAATAGATTCTACTTCATTAGGTTATGAAAACTTACAAACTCACAGTTGCAACTTACAACATTAATGAAGATTAATGCTACAACTGCCCATCCCCACTGAATTTTTTGACCAACTAGTGAGTGCTGCAGAATACAGGATAATAGCCCACTCTGTTTGGGATTTCTATACCATAACGGAAGGCAACATATACTGCAGAAAAGCAAATGCAGCGTGCTGTTACCCATTTGGGCTAATGTCTGCATCTAATTATTCAGAGATGCCAACCACGACTTACAATTTTGCAACCACAAAATCAGAATTCCAAAACCTTGCATACAACCCAGCACGTCCCATTTGATGATGGACCGCATACCGGAATCGAACTAAAAAGAGCAACCTCACAGTTTGGCGACAAAATTAATCAAAGGCCGCAGTTCGCAATATCCCAAACAACATTGCACAGATTTTATTTTTTTGCTAGTAACATTGCAGAGATTCAACGGGGCAGTAAATCCATGGAGGAGCTCGTAGGGTTTGAGTAGTATCAGCAGAGTTGAACCAACACTCAGGGGGTACCTGGAAGATGGGAGAGCGCAGGGGGTGGCAGCAGACGGGGCAGTCGAGGATGGCGAGGTCCATGGTGACGTCGGCGGCGGCCTTCCTCCTCTTGCAGGCGGCGCCCTGCTTTTCCTCCTGCTGCTGCGGTTCCTCCCATGAGTCCCATCCCGTCCGGAACACATCGACAAGGCCCGCCGGCGGCGCCGCCATCCGCCGGACGGCAGATCCTTCTCTATCTCTCTCTATGGAGCAGAAAGGAGAAGGAAACGCGAGAAAGTTAGGCCGAGAAAGCGCCCATGTAGAAGCTGGGCCGAACAAGGGGGAATTGTTCTTTCTTTTCCAGATGGTGGTTATGGGAGCAACTAAATGACTCAAAAGAATGAGTTTGCCAAAAAAAAAAAACTGGGATTTGCCTAAAAACAAAATTTGGATTAGGCCAACTCCAACGCGCCGACCCATTTGGTCTGGTCGCGTCTGTTTGGATCCGTGAGGACAAAAAACGGCCCAATGTGTCGAGCAAACGATGAGATGTCGGTTTTTTTGTCCACGACGAGTCATTTTCGGCCCAAATTTGAGTAAGTTTACGTCCGCGCGGACACGCAGCAGACACCCGCAACGCCCTCCCTTTGTCCGCCCTTGGCCCGCCCGTCTGTGGCACAACGGTCATTGTCTCCCCTCCCCATCCACACCCAACACCCCAGCCTCGCTGCCACCTAGTTTCCAGTTGCTTAGCCACTGCCCCAGGCCCTAACCGCCACACCACTGACGGCCCCACCACCATTGCATCCACTGACGCCCACTCTTGGGGATATAACCCCACGGTGTAACCCGCCCAGGAGGGGGCGGGTTACGCTATTGGCAACTCTATGATCAAGCCAAGACAGGATCAATAAGCCAAGACGTGAAAGCCTAGAGGCGGCTTAAGAGGCAGGCTAACTGAAGGCCCAAGAACCGGAGGCGGTATGTGACCCGGAGGTGTAAGCCGCCCAATGGCGACTTGCTTAGAAGGGCAAGGACATTTAGAATCGGGGTCGGTCACGAAGTATGACCCGACCCGGACTCTTGTAAGCCCAGGGTATCGACCTATGTATATCAAGGTGAGTCCCTATGGTGGGAAAAGCTAAGTTACAATCAAGCGATAGCTAGGTTAAGCGATTCCGCTCCCTTGTAATCGATACTCGATCAATACAACACAAAGCAGGACATAGCCTTTTACCTCAATCATGAGGGGCCGAACCTGGGTAAATTCGTGTCTCTCGTCCCGCTTAACCCCTTTAAGCTAATCATTGTAGCCATGGCCTCACACCTAAGTACTTTCACGAGGGCATCTGTCGTGACAAAACCACGACAGTTGGCGCCCACCATGGGGCCGGTGCACGGTGGTTTTGAGTTCTTGAAGGGCTCTCTCTTAGGGATCGAGGGCTATGCCGTTGGCAGGATGACCAAGAGTCGCTGCGGCAAGCTCTACATCGACGATGCTGGCTGGGGTCCTGAGGCCGACTCAATCGAGTACGATGACCGAGTCCCCTTAGGCGAAATTCATGTCTTCATCAGAAAGATCGGCGGATCTGAGCCTAAGCCGGACACCTCCATCGACATCATCGAGTAGGCTCGGCGCACGCAACCAGCCTGAGTTCAATCCGGCAGGAAGAGCGTGTCTGTCGGTTTCACGCATGGCGCGGATCTTGTAGAGGATTATTGATAACCCACAATTATAGGGGATAATTGTAGCCTCTTTCGATAAGTAAGAGTGTCGAACCCAACGAGGAGCTAAAGATAGAACAAATATTCTCTCAAGTCCTATCTTCCACTGATACGACTGTACGCACGCTTAGTGTTTGCTTTACCTAGAACAAGTATGAAACTAGAAGTGTTTTATAGGTGTTATTGGATAGAATTGCAAGATAATAAAGAGCACGTAAATAAAAGCTAGGGGCTGTTTAGATAAAGAAACAATAAAGTTAGTATAGCGAGTGTGGAAAAGTGGTGGTAGGAGTTGTGAAATTGTCCCTAAGCAATTGACTACTTTACTAGACCGATAGCAAGTTTTATGTGGGAGAGGCCACTGCTAGCATGTCATCCCTAACTTGGAATTCTATGGACTTACGATTGGAACTATTAGCAAGCATCCACAACTATTAACGTTCACTAAGGTAAAACCCAACCATAGCATTAAGATATATTGGTCCCCCTTCAATTCTGTATGCATCAATTTCTATGCTAGGTTGAAGCTTCTCTCACTCTTGCCCTCCAGTACATAGTCCTATCAACATACAACTAACCCTATGGTGTGATCCACGCGCGCGCTCATATGATGGGCACCAAAGGACAACAACATAACCACAAGCAAATTAAACCAATCATAGCAATTCATCAATCACCGATAGGACAGCGGAAATCTACTCAGACATCATAGGATGGCAACACATCATTGGATAATAATATGAAGTATAAAGCACCATGTTCAAGTAGAGGGTACATCGGGTTGCGGAAGAGTGGACCGTTGAATATAGAAGGGGGAAGGTGATGGAGAGGTTGGTGAAGATGATGGAGGTGTTGGTGTAGATCGCAGTGATGATGATGGCCCCCGGCGGCGTTCCGGCGCCACCGGAAGCAAGGGGGAGAGAGCCACCCTTCTTATTCTTCTTCCTTGACCTTCTCCCTAGATGGGAGAAGGGTTTCCCCTCTGGTCCTTGGCTCCCATGGCGTGGGAGGGGCGAGAGACCCTCCGAGATTGGATCTATCTCTCTGTCTCTCTCTGTTTTTGCGCTCCTAGATTCTGCCCTGGCACCGTTTCTTTTATATCTGGAGATTCATAACTCCGATAGGATTGAAACCTTCGCCCAGATATTTTTCCAAAAAATAGCTTTCCTGTGGCCAAAGAAGGGCATCAACCGCCTTACGAGGGGCCCACGAGGGTCAGGGGCGCGCCCAGGAAAGGCAGGCGTGCCCCCCTGTCTCGTGGCCACCTCGGGCACCGTCTCACATTGATTTTACTTCCCAAAAATCATAAATATTCCAAAAATAAGCTCCGTTCGTTTTTATCCCGTTTGGACTCCGTTTGATATGGGGTTTCTGTGAAACATAAAACATGCAACATGAATTGGCACTGGGCACTGGATCAATATGTTAGTCCCAAAAATAATATAAAAAGTTGCCAAAAGTATATGAAAGTTGTAGAATATTGGCATGAAACAATAAAAAATTATAGATACGACGGAGATGTATCAGCATCCCCAAGCTTAATTCCTGCTCGTCCTCGAGTAGGTAAATGATAAAAAAGATAATTGTGGAATGCTACCTAGCATAATCTTGATCATATGTCTAGTCATGGCATGAATATTAAGACACGAGTGATTCAATGCAATAGTCTATCATTTGACATAAAAACGATAATACTTCAAGCATACCAACCAAGCAATTATGTCTTATCAAATAACATAGCCAAAGAAAGTTTATCCCTACAAAATCATATAGTTTGGCCATGCTTCATTTTCTTCACACAAAATGCTCCCATCATGCACAACCCCAATGATGAGCCGAGCAATTGGTTCATACTTTTTAACACGCTTCAGCCTTTTCAACTCTTACGCAATACATGAGTGCAAGCCATGGACATAGCACTATATGTGGTATATGGTGGTGGTTGTGAAGACAAAGAGGGAGAAGATAGTCTCACATCAACTAGGCGTATCAACGGGCTATGGAGATGCCCATTAATAGATATCAATGTGAGTGAGTAGGGATTGCCATGCAACGGATGCACTAGAGCTATAAATATATGAAAGCTCAACAAAAGAAACTAAGTGGGTGTGCATCCAACTTGCTTGCTCGTGAAGACCTCGGGCATTTGAGGAAGCCCATCATCGGAATATACAAGCCAAGTTCTATAATGAAAATTCCCACTAGTATATAGAAGTGATAACTCAAGAGACTCTCTATATGAAGAACATGGTGCTATTTGAAGCACAAGTGTGGTAAAAGGATAGTAACATTGCCCCTTCTCTCTTTTTCTCTCATTTTTTTTATTTTCTCTTTTTTTGGTGGGCTTCTTTGGCCTCTTTTTTTTATTTGGGCTTCTTTGGCCTCTTTTATTTTTCATAAAGTCCGGAGTCTCATCCCGACTTGTGGGGGAATCATAGTCTCCATCATCCTTTCCTCACTGGGGCAGTGCTCTAATAATGATGATCATCACACTTTTATTTATTTACAACTCAATATTACAACTCGATACTAGAACAAAGATATGACTCTATATGAATGCCTCCGGCGGTGTACCGGGATATGCAATGAATAAAGAGTGACATGTATGAAAAATTATGAAGGTGGCCTTGGCACAAATATGATGTCAACTACATGATCATGCAAAGAGCAATACGACAATGATGGAGTGTGTCATAATAAACGGAATGGTGAAAAGTTGCATGACAATATATCTCGGAATGGCTATGGAAATGCCATAATAGGTAGGTATGGTGGCTGTTTTGAGTAAGGTAAATAATGGGTTCATAATACCGGCGAAAGTTGCGCGGCATAATAGAGGCTAGCAAAGTGGAAGGGTAAGTGTTCGTATATCCATGGACTCACATTAGTCATAAAAAACTCATATACTTGTTGCAAAAATTTATTAGCCCTCAAAGCAAAGTACTACTACGCATGCCCCTAGAGGGATAGATTGGTAGGAAAATACCATCGCTCGTCCCCGACTGCCACTCATAAGGAAGATAATCAAAGAAACACCCCATGCTTCAAATTTGTCACACAACGGTTACCATACGTGCATGCTACGGGACTTGCAAACCTCAACACAAGTAATTCTCAGTTTCACAATTACTCAACTAGCACTACTCTAATAGTCACCATCTTTATATCGCAAAACTATTGCAAGGAATCAAACATATCATATTTAGCGATCTACAAGTTTATGTATGATTTTATGACTAACCATGTGAATGACCAATTCCTGTCATCCCTCTAAATAGATATAACTGAAGCAAGAGATTTTAATTCTTTCTACAAAAGATTGGCCCACGCTCTAACAAATTTAAATGAACCAAAAGAGCATTCTACAAATGGTGGTTTTCTATGTGAAGAGAAACAGGCAGTCCAAACTTCAAATGATATAAGTTAAGCACATGAAGCATTCTATAAAGCCATACTCAAAAGATTTAAATGAAGTACAATGAGAATTCAATAAATCAACCAAGGAC